ATTCTTCAACTATTATCAATATTTATTCGACTTTGACAAATAAATGATTTTCCTTCTTATTCTCTCCTTCTTATTACAATAATCTTTTTCTATCCTTTTCTTTTTTTTTTTCCTTTCTCTTCCTTTTCTCCTTCCGTTTTTTCTCGCGTTAATGGTCATTATTAAAAATGTTTGATCAAGACAAAGAGAGTGAAGGAAGGAAAGAAAGAAAGAAAGAAAGAAAACGATTACTATATATCTTTCCCTTTTTTTTTCTTTTTTTTTTTTTTTTTATCTATTTCAACGTAATTTGATATAAAAAGGACATTGTGAACTTTTCTTCTTTTTCTTCGATATTGGTTGTATATACAGAGGAATCGAATTAATACGACGAAAAATGATATTTATCGTAGTTAAAGTCACTTGAACGATCAACTATGGTCCCGTAAGAAATAAGCGTCAAGTCTCTTTCAAGTGTCCAACTTGTACTCGAACTTACTGTCTTCCTTTCTCTCTCTTTCTTTCTCTCTTTCTTTTCAAAGGCCTATCTATACAGTGTCCACAAGTTAGAGTTTGTCTAACCAAGAGTTCCTGAACTTCGACGTTGCTTTGAGTGAAAACAGCCCGGAGCTGTTATCGCTGCAGTATCGTTCTACTATCATTCCCCTCCCCCTCCCCCTTAGCTTATATTCCTCATGTATATATGGTCCCGGTGTCACGTACTGCTTTCCTTTCGGCTTACACTTCGGAAAATCTGGATCAAGCAAATTTTTTCCTCTCTCCTTTCTTTTTCCAATAAACGTGCGTTTTCTTTTTACCTACGTATGTATGTATATATATATATATTTTTTTTTTTTTTATAAAATATAATACGTACTCATTTTTATCGAATGTAGTTCGAAACGTTGAAGAGATATTAAATAAATCTAAGAGAATACAATAGATCGATATAGATTTAATCGTAGATATTACGAGATTAAAAACTTTTGTACATATATATATATATACATATATATACTTGTAATTTTATCTTTTTCGAAGGGAAACTAACACAGACGAACAATCAGGAAAGTCGTAAAACTCGTGTACAAAGAGCGATATAAGCTTTTGGTTGTAGGGACCATTTCTGAAACTATCGGGAGTTTTAGAGTTAAACAAGAGTGACACGTTAGAGTGAGTGTAAGCGAGGATGAGTTAGCTAAAGAGAAAGAGAAAGAGAATACGAGAGATAGAGAGAGATAGAGAGATATAGAGAGAGAGAGAGAGAGAGAGAGAGAAATAGAGAGATAGACCAACGGAGAAGGTTGCCAGGGAAGTGTGTAGTAACCGTTAGACAGAGACAATCTATATATAACAGTGTGGTTCTAGATCGTACAAGTGTGTTGGAATGAGAGGAGAATAGTTTGGAGTCTCTCTTTCTTTCTCTCTCTCTCTCTCTCTCTCTCTCACTCTTTCTCTCTCTCTCTACATAGACGAAGGATACTAGAACTCAAGCCGAATTTACATTGTGGCTGAAGCTTTCGTGTTTGAATTGTATGGCTGGGGCTCTCTCGCATCTACCTAAACTCTTCTTTGGATACCACGAGAATCGCTTCGTTGGATGTACACACCCGGTATATGAAAACGAAGATTGAACATGACTCTATCTCTATCTCTATCTCTATCTCTGTCTTCGTTTTCTCTCTCTCTCTCTTTTTGTTTCTATGATCGATCTAGAAGCATATATGTACATAGGAAGAACTCTCTAATTGTCTGTCTGTCTGTCTGTCTGTCTGTCTGTTTCTCTTTATCTTATCCTTTTTTATTT